TTCACACAGGAAGCTAACCTGGAAGAAGTCTTTACACAATTTCTTTTCTTTTTTCATTACTTTACTTTTAATATGTTATGTGGGTATTAAATTAAGTATAGATACATCAAGTTAGAAAGGTATATCTGTTAGACATAGAACAACATAGACAGAGCAAGCTGGAACGATTAATACAATCTACAATTAATGAAGATCTGGCCTAATCATTTTGGTCTAGTAGAAGGTAACGGGGGAAATCTCCATTTTGTCCCTCATAGAGAAATAACCCCCTCGAATCACAACGTAACCTTCTATGTACTGTGTTTTCTGGTGATATGTCAATCAATTGTGATGCCTCAATTGATGTTATTGGTTTTGTATTTCAAATATGCAACTTCAATAAAAATTGTCAATAAAAAAAACCAAAACAATCTGCCCATACCACAGAGATGCGAGAGAGTGGAACTAGTAATCCGAGCAATAAAGGCAGTAAGTGTGCACCAGTACTGCTGTATGACAGGACAGTTCCACCATATATGGGCCTGTGTGCCCACAGAGCCCCAACCCCTCCAACATAAATTAAAATATTCCAGATCATCTTCCCCAGGGTAGCCAAGGTCTGGTGCCACCTGGACAGGAGCTTATAGTTACTTTCCTTCACTTTGGGACTCATCAAAGATATATGGCAGAGACTGAGAACTTTAGACATTTGATTTCTCAGAAAGGCAACAGGTGAAATCCTGCTCCCACTTTAAAGGAGGGGGTTCAGAACAATCTTGATCAAGGGGGATTTTGTAGAACTGAGAGACTGCATGTATAGGTGGGGAAGGTCCATGCAATAGATGTTCCACAGGGTTCAGGTCAGCAAGAGATCTTAGGGGCTTAGGCACTATAGATACAAAGTGAGTGATCTAAAGTGCTGCCAAATATCAAATTACTGGATAACCCATTGTTCTCTTGGATTCTGTAGGGATAATACACGTTGGTTAGGAAGAATGTGATGGAGCTGAAGTTCCTGAAAGGCAAACCATCTATGAAAAAGACTGTGTCTTTCAAACCCGGTTAAAAATAACTGTGTCCCCGGAGGAGCATCAAAGATGAGTTGTAATGCCAGCTGACTTGGGTGTGTAAGGTATCCCAGAATGTAAGGGTTGACAAAGTGAAAGGGGATGACAGTTGGGGAAGGTTTTTATATTGTTTCAGAATCCAAAGCATAATATTTAACTTTGCGTTGTTCAAGTGCTCTTCAAGTGAAACCCATTTATTTGTAGAACTAAAAATCTATTTCACAATATGTGAGAGATTTACAGCCATAAAATATTTGAGGAGGTCTGGTAGTCCTAGACCACCATTTAGCTTTGTTCTAAAATCTATGCGAGACCCTTTGTTTAATTGTCACGCTAAATACATTTGTGAGCAGTGGATTGCAAAGAGTGAATGAACTTCCTGGATACAAAGAAGGGGAGCATTTAAAACTCAAATAAGATTTGTTCATTTTGACCACACTAATTTTACAGAGCCAGGATAATGCAGGCAGACTTCAATTGCATAAATCATGGTTAATACCCCTTAAAAGAGGAGGGTAGTTAGAATTACAAGGATCAGAGATATTTGGAGTGAGGTATATGAACAGGGATTTCAGTTCATATGCCTGCCAAATCAAGGGAAATTGGGGTCTTAGGAGGGAAAGGGCTCAGATAGGGTGGAGAAATTTTAATAGTATCAGTAACTGGGGAATTATCCAAAAGGATGGGTAGGAAGAGTATGGGAGCTAATAAAAATTTTCAAATATTGATGGTCCATCAACTAGGGATGCACCTATATATCGGCCAAAAATTGCACTTTTGGCTAAATGCCAAAGTGCCATTTTTGTGACGATGCAGCGGCACATCCCTGGTTTCTTTCCTCCCCACTGGGTGCTGTTCTGTGTCCCAGCGGGGAGGAGAGAAAGTGTGACAGCCGGCCGAGCGCTGCAGGAGGAGAGTGCTGTGAGCGGCCAGCGTCTCTCCTCCCACACCGCTCAGCCTCCTGTCACAGTCTGGCAGAGCGCTGTGGGGCAGAGACAGCCCACGCTGTTACAGAAGGCTGAGCTGTCCTTCGGCACCGCTCACTCAGCCTCCTGTGACAGCGTGTCAGGAAGGAGAGCAAGCTACAAACACTCAGTGACCAGTGATCGCTGAGTGTTTGTAAATAATTGAGAACATGGTATGTTTACTATAGCCTCAATTATGAATGAATGGGAAGTAATCTACATCACCTCCTGTTCATTCATAATTGTGGTTATAGTAAACACACAATGTTCTCATGTTATCAATGAACAGGAACACTCAGTATAGAGGATTCCTGTTTTTGATTGATAACAGAGGCTGCAGAAAAAGAGATTGAGGACTTTGTGTCTTATGATTGCAACGTAGGCGATAATGCTGTTTTTACTTGTATGTTTTGTATTTATTATTTTTAAATAAAAGTAGTTGTTATTCTAATAAATTATCCTACATGTGACCTATGTGTTATTATACAGTATGTTTAGTTATGTCCCCTTGCATTCTGTAGATGGCACCTTAAAAGCCCCACCTAGTTCTGTTTGGTATACATTTAAAGTATTTAGGGGTGTGGTATCCTTGTTTCTGTGGTAATTCTAAATATTTTGAATACCTAAATATGACTACCTCTGCTTTCCAGTTCTTTCTCATATATTCTTTTTGTGTGTTCCTTTTTTTTCGACGTATATATACATTTATATTATCTGAGTTTACTAAGCGGTGCACAATAACTGCTTCACAAATTGACGGCATTTGGATTCTTTCACAGAGTATTGCAGTTAATTTGCTAAATGTTAGAAATGCCAACATTTTTATTTGGGTTATTATGTGGACAGTTTTTACTACTGTTTCTTTTCTTATTAGGGAGATTTTTATTTTATTTCCTCTTGTGCCACCATGACTTAAATGTGGGTAATATCTCCAGTGGGAAAAAAGACAACATATTTCAGATACATGGTAAATAATAAAACACCCTTGAGGTTTCTATTGTTGTTTCTGTTTGAGTTGAAAACATATACAATATGTATATGTATGGGCTCCAGGGAGGTTTTATGTCATGGTATACCTATTATTGCCTTGTAGGCGGGCTGTTATTTGTTTTGTTTTAAAGATGAGTGGACATGCTGTTTTTACTTGTATGTTTTGTATGTATTTTTTAAATAAAAGTAGTTGTTATTGTAATAAATTATACTACATGTGACCAATGTGCTATTATATTTTTAGTTATGTCGCATTGCATTTAGTAGCCCTATTTAAGTAGCCAATGAACTACTACAACTATATGAAGATGGAGAACACTCCAAGGATAGTTAAATAAAAGAGAACAGTACAAAAAGACCCAACTGTGTAGTAATTATAATGTAACTTAAAACGAAGATTCAAATGCACTTTAAAGTAAAAAGAGCTTGGGGGAAAAGTAGCCAATAGTTAATACACCAGCGAAAACAGTCTGTTTTAACCTCTAACTCCTGCCTTGGTCATGGACACGAGAAGGTAGACCCTGCAGGAATGAGAGGGCACTAAGACAGCACGAAAACAGATAAAGTCAGTCGTCAAGATTGCATTTCTAGAAAAAGCAACAAACCCCCTTCACCTGATCTATAAAGCTACCTCATGTCATTTATGCTTCAACCAATCAAGAGCTGTTCAGTTCAGTGCAGTAATTCTCTGAGGCCATGCTGCCGAAAGATCCCTCTCCAGGGGGTCCATTACAGAGGTAGTGGTTTTAATGATGCTGGCCAGAAAGGGATCACTACAGTGGAAAGCTCCTAATGAATGGTCAGTGTTGCACCAAAAGATGAAAAAAATAATTTCCCCCAGCAACAATAAATAACCTTGACTGACAATGGGACAAAAACTGACAATTAGGAAGATACCTCTTTCTACTTATATTTCCATCTATGTCTCTGTGTACAGACTAGGTAAAAAATTTAATTAAATTATGCAAACCCTTTCATTGGAAAATTCATAATTCCACCACATAAGTGATTAAGACACACATTAGCACAAATTTGCAGTAGTGTAAAATTTACATGATTCACTTATCACTATCTAGAAATATGAACCTATGTGCACACACACACCTATATGCTCACAGACACACACACACACACAGATATGAGCACATGAAGCATAAAAGCAGGCTTACTCGAGATTCCACTGCTATTAGTCAGCAATACTTATCACGGCTCTACTAAGGAAATCTACTATTTATTCAATAAGGACAAACACTGCAGAATTTAATCTAACTTAGACACTGGAGCTTGTATACACCACTGTAGTTGCAAGTGATATAATATGTTGTGTTTTGTTTTTCTTGCTATGCGTAAGTCTTGTCATTTAAAGTGAAACTCCAGCCAAACAATGTTTTTTTCATTTTTGATAGGAAGGGTTAGAACATTTTTTTGCTGTCTCTGAACCCATTGGAGAGACTTCCCCTCCTGTCCCCAAAACAAACCACATTGGCTGGGGTTCCACTTTAATAGTGATATAAAGTCAGCCAAATAGTTCCACTCAAGTGACACTTTGCATGCTATTGTACATATCACACTCTGCAATTTTACAAAGGATGAAAGCTCATCTCACACACACACAAGTGACACATCGTCAAATCTGATTAGGTAACCAAGGGATGATTCACAGGGCCATTAACAGTAATCAGCTTTACAGCAGCTGAACAATAGTCACTATAGCAAAGCAAATTGTTTTGCAAGTCCGAGTGAAAATTAACAGACATATTGTAGCTATGCATTCTCAGAAGAGGTAATATTTAATTTTTCAGAGCAGTTGTTGACATAGCTCTTGCCACTTGTCCAAATACAATGCAGCATGTGTTGAATTATGATTTAAGAAGTATAGCATGTTATCTGTACTTATACATTTATGACATAACTTTTTCCTGCTTCAATTACAAAAGCTAGCTTTGAACTGTATAATAAGCAGTTAGAAATCAGTTGCAAGTGGTTAACCTGACCTTACCTGTGCTTCTTGGGGAACTTGGCCTGCATCAATTCTGTCAGAAATATAGGCCGTCAGTTGTCTGTCTATGGTGCCAAGGGATTCCTGAATAAGGCGAATAGCTTTGTCAGTCTCTTGGGCAGACTGAATACTTTGTTCAAGAACCTTTTGCCTCCTTACAGCCTACAAATGAAGAAAGGAAGCATGTTATTTTTTTTCATCGGTTCCATTTACATGAAAATGCTGGTAAAACAGAGCAAACACCTTTTTGTAAGATGAGCTTCGATGACTTCTGACACTCATTAAGACAGCCTCCGCAAAAAAACTGACGATGGCCAAAAAAGATTAGATAAATAGAGGTGAAGTCACTTAAAATAGAGACAAGGACTGAAAGCTCTTTTCAGCATGTTGGTAAAGGCACTGCTAAATTGTTAAAAGGAAACCTCTTCTGAATGCTGTAATCTGCTGTTCTGAGGCCTATCCCACTTCTCCCTGATCTCATTATGTAGTTCAAGAGATTTCAAGTACTGAGAATAGGGTCACGGTCACCAAGCCTGTGTAAGCCACAGCAATGAAGTCACAGCAACAAGTAACTAGTGATAAGATGAGGAATGAAGACGCTGGGACTGTAGGTGGTAGGAGTCACTAAAATATATCTGAAGATAGTCAAAGAATAAAACATTTTCAAAAAAAGGTTTCTGTAAATATAATACTATTTTCAATTTCTGTGATCTACACCCATGTCCTACAAAATCAAATTTACACAGATGAATGGCTAATTAAAAATAACTAACACCGATTGTATAATTACTTATATCATATAGGGGTTAAATGTATGTTATAGAAAAATCTTGCAACTAATCAGATTCCACAGGCCATTTCTGCAGCCCTGGTTTCAAATAAAACAATGATTTTTAATGGTTGCTAAGCCTTAAAATTACTTTAATGCAAATCATGCACATGCTGATGCATTCATCCCGTGTGTTAATGGCTAGATTTTGTCACTGTCAGATGGCTTTAAATGTGTGTGTATTATCTGTTTGGACAAACAAGCTAAGAAGTGGTCATGCACACAGCAGCAATTTAATATGTTCTTTGTTTACTTATAGTAATGGGTATGAATGCTTATGCCAAAGTAATGTTTACTAAACTCCACTTCATCAGGTAATCAGTAGCTAGAATGTAGAAGCTAAGGTGTTCAACTCCCAGCCCCTTTTTTCTAAATTGCCTACTCAAAAAAAAATCAAGTTCAAGGAAAACTTTAATGAGTTTTCAGTTAGTACATCTTTTAAAATATTAACATGAACCAGTATTTTACGCACATCAGGCAAAGTATCATGCTGCAGCCTGTATTTACTTTCCCCCGTTCTCTGCAATCATAACTCATGCCTGCTAAAGCTTCTCTCATATTGATCATACACAAGGTTAGAACAAGGCTAAAGACCCATCCCCAATTTAATCTGATGGTTGGCCTCTCAGGAAAGTGTTGTATTGTGGGAGAAAAGGAGAGAGTCGCAAGTTCCTCCATGTCTAGACAAACGGGCAATTTCACAGGTCTTTCGTGGGTGAATGAGGTGGTGAGAAACATGTTCATGTTCAGGCTTCTTAGGACCTATGTTGACAGGCTTTGGGCTTGTGTTCATATCAGTTTGTGACAATTCATTGATAGGTATATTTGACCTGCAGTTAACCTCCATCTGACCTGCCTCAAGTGGGTATTGTGTTCCCCTGGGTATCTATGGGAAGGTGAAGCACTTTTGAAACCAACAAAATCCCACTGAAACACGCTCTTACAATTCCTGCTATCTGGCAAACATATTACTTCACTCTGAATTGGTAGTACATGTCTGCTTTATCATTTGCCTCAAAGTAATTTTTTTGTTTTTCTAAATGCTTATGTTACATTTCTGCAAGACCATGTTTCATATAGCTAGCTGTCTTTATATCAAACAGGCAATCATCATTATTGCTGAACAGCTGTAGGGAATAAAGGGTAATTCCACTTTCCCAGGTGAATTTGGAAAGATTTAATTACCCCCTCCAATTTAATCCCCTTTTCCCCCGTTATGCTAACCTTTGAGCAAAAACTCCTTACCCTCCACTGGTGCCAGTGTACTATTCATACTTTGTACATGTAACCGCAGCCCTGCACTCTGTATATTATGAATTTTGCCCCTGACCAATGAGTGCTCACCATTTGAAAACAAAATTCAAAATACAGAGCGCATGGCTGTGCTGCTGTGTACGAAGTGAGGATAGTACACCGACAGAGGGGAAGGATAACACTGGGGAGAGGGGGCAAGATTGAAGGGGATCATTTAATTTTTCCATATTCACCTGGGGAAGTAAAATTATGCTTTAAACAAGTTCCAGGATAAGCAATGTAAAGAGTTCATTGTTGGAAAAACAGTATTGCAATGTCACTGGACAGTAGGTACATCTTTTATATTTAAAGAACAATAATTGCAGTTTCCATGTACAATACCACTTATAAATGATACACAGAAGCATAATTTACAAAACTTTAAAACAAATTGACAAGATTATATTTTAAAAAGTTTTCCATACTCATCCTGCAACACATCTTCTTGCTCACACATATGAGAAGACCCACCTTTTCAGGATATAGTGCTAACATTAGTGGTTCCTAGAGGCATACTAATTAACTTGTTTGATTCATCTGGTAATGAAAAGCAGGTGTACAGTGAATGTATAAGCATTCTTTAAATGTGTAGTGTTATTATTTGTCTGTCGTTATTACAAAGGATATGCACTTAGCTATAAGGAACATTTGTAGCACTGCTTTTGTAAGTTGCCTGATCCCTACTACTTTGAAGACAGACCTAAACAGTAAATTAAAACACTCCACTGTAAAATTATGGTAGGACCCTGTGACTCTCCGACCATCTTCAAATAAATTAATCTACTACACAACTTTACTTTAAAAAAAAAATAGCTAGCAGAAGCATGCCAATGGAGAATCATAATGCCAGGTTTTACCTGCAGGTGGCACTTAAGGCAACATTTGAACCACCACATCCTAGGCTATACCAAGCTGTGTGCATATGGATGGGGCTATGGATATACTTTTTGATACAACAAGAAGGAGTCAGAACCAGAGGCCAAACATTTACCTAGAAACTGACACCAATGTCTTTGGGCTGGCAAATGACTAAATAAATGCAAGTAGATGTCTCCCTGTAAAATAAATAGCTGAAAGAAGTGCTCGCACCGCAGCGATGTATGACAAAGCTGACAACTAGGCACTGAATATTTGTAATTAAACACTTCTTTCTCTCGGGTGAAAAAAGAAGGATTAGTGTCCATAACAGAGATTAAAACACACTGTGCCTGATTTGCTAAAGATTATGTCCATGTGCTGTTGCATTGATCATGCACTGACAACCAGTTTTATCCTGCTTGCATTTACTATGCATTTAAGATGCTTAGACATGCAAGTACAGCTTCCAGCATACATGGTGAATTTACTAATAAGTGAGGTTTGCTATGGAGTGTACGCTCCAGTATCTGAATGTACTCAGATGTGAGAAGTTGTGGTATGCCTAAAAGAATAATGTAATTTTCTCCATGTTTTTGGGTCTTATTGGTTGTTAGGGTTTTTATATGTTTATCTAATGTTGTAACAAAAATACCTCAGAGTTTATTTATACATTTTTCACACAAGATTCCCACACTTTTTACCCAGTATTTACACATTTCTAATTACTTCACATTAGAAAAATTTGTGGATCCTGGGTGAAAGTTGTATAAAGCTGAGTGAAAATTGTGTGACTCCGGTGTGAAAAACTGTATAAATAAACCCAGAGGCATTTTTGTTTCAACACTGTATAAATAGGCCTCCCAGTATGTACTATTGTCATTAATGATGTTTATAAATAAGCTTTAAAAAAATTAATAGTGCACGCTGTGCTGGCTGTATCACGGTGCCCAGAAAAATCAATGGGCATTTTGGCCAAGGCCAATCCATGTACAAATTTTCACTTGCAGTTGCCTCGGAATGGGTTATGATGATAAATACCTGTACATACACTGCCTTTTCAGCACATACATCAGTTATTTTGCATTCTCCTTTACTTGGAACATGTGCATTTCATTGCTTAGCAAGCCGTTTACGTTATTTATTTATTAATTTTTAATTAAAATGCTGACATGCTTGTTACTTTGTGTACCTTATCGGAACAGAAGGCACAACAGCAGCATTATATGGATGCTCAACATTCATTGCAAAGTATGACCACACTGTACACATACAGAACAGTTTATGATTTGCTATATAGGTTCACATTAATGATCCCATTCGTAATGCATGTCCATGTAAGTGTGCAGCATTACCATAAAGATGTATTCCTTCCCTTGGTCATTTCCTCTAGCCAATTGTGTGTTTGGTACCTTTCCTGGGTCTTAATTGCTATGTTTACAGTAAAAAAACAGTTTCCCATTTACTAGAGGCTTTACCGAATGGATCAGCTGAATTTTCCACTTTATACAGTAAAACCGATTTCATGTTATTTTGTTTGTAAACATTATTTCCCAAAAAATTGCAGGGATTTGCACTCTTTATGTTGGAACTGGGAACTCTCCATAGGATGAAATGGAGAGTGCAGGGCACACTTGAAGACCCGGGTCAGAAGATGTTGACAAGCAGATTTGCAACCTTGTCTGAGTTATCTTGCTGGTTCGAGGAGCAGGGAAGCTTCAATATAAGGTGTGCAAACCTCTGCAATATTTCTTGTAAATAGTAACTTTTAAATGCAAAATAGCACATCAATCATTTTTGAGCAATTACACTTTAAAATGTTGTTAACTTCTGACTGACATCAGTTTGTATGGTGTGTCTAATGTGTTTAGTATAAAATGGTGGAACTAAAATACACATTCACGAGAAAACAATACTGAGGAATGAAGGCAAAACGTTAACATTTCCACACCTATGAAATTTATGTCAATGACTTGAAAAAAATCAGTTACAAAAACTCATACATCTTATTGTATTCACCCCATAATCTGTAGGGGATAAAGAGTACTTTTGGTAGTCAAACATTGCATGTTATAGCCTAACAGCCGAACCCTGCAAAGATTTGGTTTAGACTATCCTTAAACCCTAGGTCAACATTTTTTACTGTCAATTCTAATGAAATTTTACAGAAGTACTATTATGTGAATTAGAAATTGCCTCTTTAAAAGCAATAGGCAATGATGCTTAAGAACTGAGCACAAATTACAATGGAGTAATCTTTGTTTATATAGCAGAGTTGATGAGCATCTATAAATTTACAAAGTTCAACTGATAATGTAAATATGAAAAGCTTTTTTGTCAAAACATTGATGCTGAAGAAATAAACATCATTCTCATGCCAATAGATTTCCTCCCACACACAAAATGTGCCAGTTAATTACATTTCAACTTGCTGTATATGACAGCAGCAGTTATATTCATTGCCCTGTACAGGCACTTAAATCTGACAATCAATCATGATCTTTCTATTGCATACAAATGCATTTATTGCTTAAAGCAGCCCTTTCACCTTTTGTATAACTTTAGCTCATTGCATTTCTCCACCTCATATTAGAAAAAAATGCTAGTATTTTACACTTTCTTCTAAATGTTTTTAGCTCTTCCACTGTCCTACTTCCTCCTTTCTTGTCTAGATGAGAATGACATATCCTGGGCCATCCGTAGCCTCCTGGGATAGCCACATCATATATCCTGGAAGGTTGTAGGCATTAACTCTGAGCTATCACAAGATTTAACTGTTCTTGCTTGTCGCTTGTGTGATTGTCGATACAATGAGTAACTAAGATAATGGTGGGTGGTAACAGGGTGGAAGTAACAGCTGGCTCCCAGTATTTCAAGATCACAGCACAGGAGAAGTGAAGCAGAAAGAAAATTGTAGCTATAAGCAAGATATTAGTGGAGTACATGGACTTGTAAATATGACTTTTTTATTGTAATGCACTAACATTTATTGTACTGCCTAAATAAGAATTTTGTCAGATTGCTGGAATGTCCGACTTAAATTAATATATGACTGCAAATTAGGTACAGTTACAATCCTGCATAATTTAGCTCATGCTAAAGAAAATCTTAGTACAGGTGACTTTAGCCAAAACTGCATGTCAAAATAATCAGTAGATCATTAGATATAGACAGCTGAATTTACATGCGTGCCTTATTTTCCACTGAGCATAGCCTCATTACCTAACTGCTTGACTTGTACAGAAAAAGTCAAGATTTGCATATATATTTTGCTGTTAATATCTCTGAATCTACCGATTATTGTAATATCTGGTTGACAATTAAGGAAATCTATGCATGTACATTTTTATTATACACTTACAGGGTTATTCACAAAAGGGTGAAGAGTTTGGAGAAGGCAGGAGAAGTGAACAATCTAAGACAACTTAGCTGAACTGGAAAGTGAGCTGAATTGTCCTAGATTGTCCACTTCTCCTGCCTTCTCCAAACTCTTCACCCTTTTGTGAATAACCCTGTTAGTTTGCATTGTTTAGGTTTTGAGAGATGTTACCTAATGACACTGGCTCAAATATACTGTATAGTAGGACCAGTTTGGTGTGGTTCCAGTCAACCAACTAGTATGCTTTTGAACAGCTGGAGAAAACTAGAGAATTCAGAGAAAAAACAGAACAGACATAGAGAAAACATACAAATTTCATAGAGATAGTATCCCTGGTTGGATTTGACCTTAGGACTGGAAGGCAAGACTGCTAAACACCCCATAGACCAGTGGTGGTCAACTCACATGATATTGAGGGCCTCAAGTGCAGCCCCTCATCAAAAGGGATACACATTACACAAAAAGAAAATAGAATCTAAGTCACTCTGCCCCTCATTCTGAAGTCATAAAGCCCCATATGACTGCCACCGCAATATTGGTGCTGCCTAATACTTGGGTAATTTTAAGTGGCACATGATGCTTATATTGCTGTAGTGTAAGTGACATTACTAGGCAACTCCTTGAAGAGCCTACAGATGTTTAGACTGCTAGTAAAGGAGTGTTCAAATGTTATATCTAGCCTTTAGTATTTCTTTATACATACTTTGATCTAATGTTGCAATTACTTTTACCTAAAGATTATATTATTAAAGGAAATCATTGCTACAGATTTTACATTCATAGGAACATTTATAGAAAAAAAAAATTTGTGTGTATGTCAGCAAATGCAGTTTTTTTAATGTTATATGATATTTCTCTCTCTATGTGACTTTTACTCATAAATTAAGAATAATTAGAAATTAATCAGTGCATCCAATAACATTTATAGATTACCTCCTGCTGTACTTCATCCCAACGTGTATTGAACATCTCTAGTTTTTCATTGATCAATTCATCCATCACACCTCCATCTGTCAATGTTTGTGCAAGTTCTTTAATTTGATTGCGATTGTCTTCAGGGTGTTTCATAATCTTTTCTATAGACTGAGGGAAAAAAACTTTTAGGTAAACTAAAACTTCACTGTGTTATGAAGGGCTGTGTCAAAGATAAACATGGCATTAAAGGAAATTAATAATGTAAATCCTCCCACAGGGAATAGATTAGATGCAAAGTGGCTAAGAAATCCATAGATGAAAAGGCAGTCAGAAAAACTAACCACCTGATGATAATTTTGTAGAATGAAATAACCATCCATGACTGTTTTTTTTCATGTATGCATCTTAATAAGAAAGGCCAAAAAAAATCTCAAACATTTGGGGCAGTTCACTCTTCCTCCAAGACCAGATAGCCAGGGACTGTCTGCAGAGGTCACATACCACCGACTTTGTCCCAATCCAGCTTTATTCAACGATGACTCCTAAAGTCTATGGGTGTTGTAAGAACAATATAAACACATACAAAGCCCCATTCACACTTTGTACTGTAATATAGCACATCATTATGGAGGGATTGTGTCAATGTGCCTGAAAGCACATCAAACCCAAATAAAAAGGTCATTGTGCTCTTTAATATTTCAGCTTGGAGGTGAACATTTTACAACATAAAAAATATGTTATTCAGGTGCTAATAACTACTTGAAAACGGCAAGCTGGAATGAGTCAAATACAATTTAAAATAGTACTAAACTCTCAAACTTTATTTTTCAAAAATGAATCCATATCAAACAAAAATACATTGCCCAAATATTTCTTTACATTTTCCCCAAAGCATTTACAGTCATCATGTTTCCAAATAGTTTGCTCCAACTCTCTCAGCTTGGTTTCCCTGAACTTCCTGTCCAGTAGACATCACAAGGGACAGAGGAGACTCCAGCAGCTGTCCACCTTCTAGCATGGTGGAGGGAAGAAGAAGGAGGGAGAAGGGTGAGAAAGGAGCAGATGATTGGCTTACCCTGCTGTAACTGTGTGTCAATGGAGACACATGCAGCTTACTAGCACACAACAGGGTGGCTCTATAGGACACTGCAAGGCAAAGCAGCTACCCTAAAGCAGGATATCAGGGCCAGTGCTCGGAGGAGAAGCTAATTCTGCAAGAAGCTAAAACTTTGAAACATTAAGGAGCATTTGAAATAGCTTAAACATATTTTGATTTTAATATCATGAGTGAAAAGAAACAATAAACAACCATGTGCAGCCATATATGCAGAGCTACCTTCATCCCTACTTTAGTCACATGAACATACAGGAAATGGTGATCCAAGCTAATTATAAAGCTCTTAAGCCATCTTTACGGGTGATATAAGTGTTAAACATTTCCATTAAAATGCAATAACTACTACACTTAAGTGTATGTTCAGACAAAACGTTTTATTTAGTTTTTGTAGACTAACCTCTGTTGGATTTTACGGTTATCCAGGGCTCCATTATAGAGATTGTGCCTCACTTTCTGTCGCAGTAGCAACAATTTTTAACAGACAGAAATTGGAGAACATCTCCAACAAGGATCCAGGCACCAATACAAGGCTAACAGGGGTTTAAGCCTTCCCCTACTTTACAAAAATGTTGGAGATTTAACCTCAATTCCTGTCTGCTGAAATCATCATTACTGGGACAGTAACTGAAGGAAACTCTTACTAACAGGGTCCTGTAATGAAGTAAATCTCAAAAAGGGTTCTAAACCTCCGAATAATATAATAACTCCCAAACAAAAAATTGCCTTGACATACACTACTGTACATGTTTACGAGTTTGCCCAGGTAAGATTTGAAAATGAGACAGAGAAGCTGATTGGTTGCAGTGCAAATCTGCTCCAGTTTTGGTAAATTCCCCCCACAAACTCTACTGATGATCATCCATGTAGTAATTATATGTTCTACTATCTCTGCTACAAGTGGAGATGATCACTTAAAATAGTTGCAACCAGCCTACATAGAATCTCTTGTAACTTTAGCCTGGAATAATTACGGAATTAATAAAACCATGCTATGTCATCTAATAAAAGAACTGCTGCACATCTAAGAACTCTTTACTTTGTCACTGAGTTCCTGAAGTTACACTAATCTCAATATTTACCTTTAAGGTCTTTGAGATTTCCTCGGGTGATCCCTTCACACCCTCTGTTGCCTTTAACTTTTCCCCAACTTCATCAATCCACTTGTTTTCAGCTTCTAAATAAGATAATAGTTCTTGCCAACACTTCCATACCTCCTGTAAATTGTAACAAGATTGAGACATTTTACTAAAATATACCCATGTGTAGGGGTCGTTTACATATATACATATTTGTCAAGAGAGAAGTGAAATAACAGAATTGTGCTAAACATCAAATAAACCATAACTAATATTTTTGCATGCATACATCATATTTTTTAGAGAATATCTTCATGTGAACAGTGTACAATCCATGCTAACTCACTTTCTACAGTATATTGCCAAGCTCAAGATACGGTGTACAATTTGGAATTGCCAAACGTTTGTCTAAGAATCATAGTATAACCTCACTATTATTAAAATCTTTATAAGCATTCTTAAATAGTACCACAGCCTGTCTTTACATTTGTATCATAAGTAAAGCAGGATTCACAATGGAAGAAGAAGATCAGCACTGTAAGACAATCAGATTCTACTGTATTGCACAGTGCTTTCAATTAATCTCAGCAAGCTTGCAGATAGGAGGAGAGAGTACTAGAATGGTCTCAGTGAGCTGCTGCTTTTTCACTATTCAGGCACAGGCTGGGGCAGGTCCTTGACCATGCTGTATTGCTTGAACTGCTGTACAGAAAAGAGAGGTCTGGGATCTCATTCTCTGGTAAGATAAGTTAATGTCAGTGAATCCTACAGCTGAATAGAATTGCAGATCTTTTAAACTGTAAAATAGTTCACATATACTGTATACATTTGAACTGCATATTTAGTACCATGGGCACTTACATTAAAGTGACACTAAACTCAGGAGTTAAACCCTAAAAATGTATTCAAATATATTAATAGCACAAATGTAGCTTATCTGTGTATCACTCAGCTGTAGATTCTCAAAACATCTCTGAATTCATCCTGATACTGTCCTTGCTTCTTGAGAGTGGCTACTTTTGTTCCCCATGGTTCCTATGTGTGTTATAAAGTAGTCAACACTCCAAGTTGAAGGAGATGACTGCCACATCTATTTTAATAGTCATACTCTAACAGTGGGTATTATTTTTTAAAACATTAAACATTTTTAATGAGTTTGGGCCTTACTTGGGTCCATAGATTGACTGGTCCAAACTGGTACTTCTACCCATTGTCTCTTTTCCCTATACAGCTGAGCAAGGCTTCTTAATGCTACTATTTCCTATAAGAAATGTATTTATGCACACAGGGGCTGCCCCAAAATTAGATAGGTGTATGTCACAAAGTATATCTTGAAGTCTGCCGCCTTAACTCTTCTTGTTTTATATTGTCCTAACCCTCTTTACACAGATTATGAAATTATGACAGTTTTTAACTCAGCTAGAGGCATAGCATTATAGTTTCTTTCCAGTCAGTGTTGACACAGTTCTAGATCAGTATACAGGATGTGTGAAAAGAATTTGACAGATATGGCTTGTGGAATGAAACTTTTTTAATGTAGAAGTCTCTTTGTACAGACATGGGACACACACGGCAGATTTGGAGAGTGGGCTAAGCATAGTCTTTTACCTGTCACTATTATGCTGCCTCCAATAATACAATGTACTACCTACAGTTATTGAGTATGTTGATACGTTTCTACAAAAGTGTTATTTTACAATAACATATATTGAACCGCATGCCTTGTTTGTCCATAAAACAAAACAGTTTTTTAATAAACACAAAGCTGCATAGTAATGCTAAGTAGCTCACCTCTAGAGTTTCACACTTTCCATTCAGCCTGCTGCAAAGCCGTTCATAGTTGTTAACTAGAACGCTCAACTCTTTCTTTAAAGGTTCATGGGCATTAGGTGGTGCTGTTGCAATGAAATTGCTCACAGAGTCTGTTAAAAGCTTAACTTTATCCTTCTTCTGTGCAGCTTCTTCTCTTGCCCTCTGAAACAACAAACAGATATTTTTAGAAGTGTTGCAGAAAACACTATTATTTCTTAGACAGAAAAAGAAACCGATTGAATTGACAACATAATCAGATATATCTTGCAAAGTTCCTCCCTTTGAAGCAGCACTTTTCTGCTGGAAACACAAAGCATTTGGTAATGCAGATTAACTATTTAGATCACAATTTCTGTATGTATTAAATGTTAATTCACTGATGGTGTGCTAATGAATATTTAAGCTGGCCATATGTAAGATAATTATTTTCTATTATGAGACATCCAGAATCAGCCTGTTACACACCAGAAAGCACAAGTAGAAGTAGTCAGCTTACTTTGCTTAAAGCTGAATTCCAGGAAAACCTTAAAACTACCCTTGCAGTAGGGCTACCCCTACACTGCAATGGCTACATTTTTGTCTAGGGAAGCTTTAAAAGGAGAATTATGAGGCGAGTGATTTTCACTCAGCCTCATAATCTGAGCCGATCTGTGACAATGAAACTGTCACAGGTCGGCTCAGTAGATGGGGAAGTCAGCGAACACATAGCGGCGCTCGCTCACTTCTTGAACCTGTGCAGGCAGAGAGCCGTGATAGGGGAGGGACTGGATTCCCCCCTCCCCTGTCCGATCCTCCAGTGCTGACTGGTGGAACAGATGGAGGAGGGGGCGGGTACAGCTGGCTCTGCCTCTAGATAGGCAGAGCCAGCTGTCACTCACGCAGCTGGGTGGATCCAGACAGAATTATCGGGATCCATTTCGGCTGCGGCGTCTCAGTATACCACGAGCTGTAGCTCGGTATACTGAGCTTAGGGTGATAGGAGGATGCTAGTTTGTGTCCTCCCGTGACCCTGATGAGAACTATGGGGAAAAGCACTGACCCTAATAATTCTCCTTTAAATACAGTTTTACTTCCCCTAATCCTACTCCCACAGGTTTCTCATTTTCCATACAAGCAGTTCTCGGATGCCATTTTCTATTATGCATGCTGTCTGTCATTCACATTTGCATGTCATCATGTGCAATGCAGGAACAGCAATGCTGTACTGTGCGGATGCATAGGGCCTGCGCACAGCCTGAAGTATTGGAGGGAAGAGGTGAGTGCTGGTTGACAACAAGCAAACAAGCATTTAACCCTTGTAGAGCAAGGGTAGTTTCGAATTTGATTTTCCCTGGAGTTCAGTTTTGAGGTAGTGCATTGTGCTACAACTAGGTGTGAAGTGCAGTAAGCCAAATATAACTTTACTGTAATCACATGTAGAAAATGATGAAAGCTTATTAGCTGCCATCAGTTCCCACACTCTGTACTACCTTACCTTACTTACTACCATATATTTCCAAATTTTCAAAGATTGCCCATCTTTGTTATATTTGCCACAGTTACTTTCCCAATAACAATGGTTTCATCACAAAGGAAGTGAACACAAATCTACAACAGAGATCCAGAAATCAATGGAAAAAATGATGGGGTTCAAGACTTCCTACTTTGCAAAATAAAGAAAGTTTTTCTTTTATCTCTGTAGTGTTAATTTTGGGGATTTACCTAATTTCCTGGTTGCTGAAATGATTGTCAATGGGACAATAAGTGGGGGAAACTCTCTCTTGCACAGCCTTGTATAATAGTGAAAGTCCAACAAGAGTTTAAGTCCTTCCCTACTCTATCAAAAACAAAAACAATTGGCTTGACCTATACTATAGGAACCTTTGTTCCTGTTTATAAGCCCCAATCTCTCCAGATGATAATTCATGAAGAAGTTATAACAAATATAACAAAGTGCTTTTTGTAGTGGAGCAGAGGAATTTTAGTGTCCCTATCAGCTTTTTATTTCTGTGTATCAGTTGAAGATGGTCCCTCACTTACCCTCTGGTGAAACAATTGTCACTGTGACAGTAAAGTAAGGTATACACAGTTATATTTTTTTGTTCAACCTATTTTTTTCATTCAACCTATTTTTTTCATTTAATTTAATCCCTGCTCACCCGGTAGTTGTCACACTCTTTTTCTGCCTGTCCACTCTGGCTGTAGACCGTCCTTTAGCATATTTATTTATTATTAGTATTTATATAGCCCCGACAATTTACGCATCGCTTTACATAATTCACATCAGTCCCTGCCCTCAAGGAGCTTACAGTCTAAGGTCTCTATCTCACATGCATGCATACATGGCCAATTTATACGGGAGCCAATTAACCTTCCAGCATGTCTTTGGAGTGTTGGAGGAAATCAAAGTACACTGAGGAAACCCACGCAAGCACAGGGGGAACATGCAAACTCCTTGCATGATTACAGAGCCTTGATGATGCCATTGGTCCTTAGACCACTGGAGCAAAGGGGAAAAGAGGCTGTGGGTTCTGACCAAGCAGTCTCATGGGAGTCAGTGGGAGTGGGGATCAGATATGTAAAACAGCTTTTTTCCTATCCCTAGCCCCACTGCAAGAGAAAACGTTTCATTTCCTTGGGCTTTAAGGCATTAAACAAAGCTAGTTTATTAGGGGAAAAGCATGTTGGGTGTTTAGGTTGCTTGTCATTACATGATCCAGCAGACTTCTTCAGGAAGGTGTGGTTATATCTCCGTTGTAAACCATACTGATGTTCCCCTTGTAGTGGGTTGCTGGAACAACTGGTGGATGGTGCCACATCACACTAATAAAATATATGTTGTCCACACACATTAGGCTTCAGAATTCCATCTTTATTGATGGGCAAAGTGTCCGTGTCATGACTATGAACATAAAACTAGTTACATATTCTTAAAAAAACAATAAAAAGCTGTTTTTAAATGTAAGCTTATTAATTCCCAAAGATTCTAAAAGAACACAACAAAGACTCTCAGCTTGGGGTTCAGTCAGTTTCAAACGGATTGTTACATTAGAGGGCAGGCAGTCTGCCAAGATCTGCTCTCCATAAAAAAGCTAAGATTTCAGTGGCTGTGTGAACTTTAAAGTTTTTATTTTTTCAAAAACTATAGATACTAAGATGAATGAGGGTTGTTTACAAGTGCTTTTAATGCCTGTTCATAATTTGTTAACAGTTTGCAAGATCTAGGCACAGGTTCCCTTTCACTGAGGGAATAGAAACAACAATTTCATCATCACACATTTGTTTAGTCAGACCAAGCCAATTTTACTAATGGATGAGTTGTTGGTAGATTTGCACAAGTGTTAGTGCCCGTTGTTCTGTGCCAGCCTAAATCATATTTATATGGTTTAATTTAACAGATATGTAGACACCTAACCATTTTAACTAATGGCTGTAATTGTCAGTGTAGTGCAGGGGACAGTGGTTGACCTAAAGAGCAATGAGCATGATTTTTTCTCGAGCCCCCCTTTCCCGCTCTAGGGGGGATAACAAAGCGGATCACACTGGCCCCCCAACCCCTCCGGCGGTCTCTGCACCAAAGGAGCTTACACTCTAATGTTCCCCCACAGTCACATCAGTCTCTGCACAGAGGAGCTTACACTCCAATATCCCCCCCAGTCACACACTATTATTATACATTTATATAGCTTTGACATATACCGCAGTACTGTACAGAGAACACTCTGTATTATTTATCCTTCTTTATACAGTATGTCATGGAATATAGCTGTGCTGCATAAAACAATAGAACAGATGTGCCATACAACCCGACTTTACCACATTTTAGCTTTGCTATAGAGAAGTGTAATTGCCCAGTGAGTCATAGGGCAAGTAGGTGAAAGTAACCAATATTTATGAGATGAGATTATGGATGTTGTTTCAACATGACAGATGAGAGGAGGGTCCACCATGCATTGTGCATAGAGGAATGGAACTGCTAAGGGGTCTAAATAACCTTTTACCAGTTCACTAAATAGATGAGACTGCCACAAACAGCAAATCATTTTTTTTAGACAAAACAAAAACACTTTTCTTGAGGAGCGCAACTACCTATAATTACAATAATGGACCCAATGTACTAAGCTACGGAAGAAACATAACAATTTAAATAACAGGCACCCTAAACTGGATTGTCATGTGGAAAGGGACAAATAGTAACTCACAGTTGAGATGCGAGCCTATGTGCCCTGGCTCGCATCTCAACTGTGAGTTACTATTTGTCCCTTTCCACATGACAATCCAGTTTAGGGTGTCTGTTATTTAAATTGTTATGTTTCTTCCGTAGCTTAGTACATTGGGTCCATTATTCTAATTATAAGTATTTGCGCTCCTCAAGAAAAGTGTTTTTATTTTGTCTAGAATTGTGGTATACAGGGTCCCTCCCCCTGTATTGAGGAGCTTTTGCACACCATCCCCTATTAGATCAATTTCCCACCTGTGTTTGTCCTACAGGAGTGCGCTCTAAACATTATGTATTTTTATTTACAGTTTTGCGTACCGTAATTTTTTTTACCTTTTCGCAAAAAGGCGCAATTTCAAATAGCCCTTCACGCCTACGACTCCGGCACTCTCTTTTGATCTTCCTATTTGTCCACATATTTCTATCCTGTATGGAAATCCTTCCCGATTTCCATACAGATTTTTAAATTTCTTCCATTGTTGCCAAGTAATTTCATATTGTTTCACTATATCTCTCCGGATTGCTGTCAATTCCTCCATTAGTCGAAAGTATTCTATTCTGTTATACCATTCCTTCATAGTTGGTATAGTCTCTTTATTCCAGTGCTGTGGTAACAAAATCTTAGCCGCGTTAATCAAAGGGTATAACAGTGATCGTTTATATGCCATGTTCGGGGAATCCATAAGATGGAATAAACATGCCCCTGATTCCAAGGGCACAGCAATAGTTGTAATTTTTTCTATGTTGTCCACCACCCGGCCCCAAAATGGTTGAAGTTTAGGGCAGGACCACCACATGTGAATATAGTTCCCAGTGTTACCGCAGTTTCTCCAGCACAACTCTGTCCTGGTTGAATGCATTTTATGTACACGTTCAGGTGTGTAGTACCACCTAGCTATAAAACGGAACATTGTGTCGTTCACTAACGTGTTTATGGACGAATTTACATTGCGACTTAGAATTT